AATATTTTGTGTTAAATTTCTGGTTTTTTTGTGATTAGATAGAGTATACATATTATACACATTGTATGAATGTGTGTATATACTATATTTTTTAATATTAAATAATATTTTGGTAACAAAAAGATAATATCTTGTGTTAAATTAATGATTTTTTGTGATTAGGTCGCATATATATACTATAGACATTGTGTGGTAGTGTGTACATATTGTATTTTTTAATATTAATTGAGAATCATATCATTAAAATATTATGGGTAAACTGTTTTTTTAGTCCCAACTGGACCTCCTTATTATTTTAGTCTCGTAAGTGGAGCTTGTCGCAAACTAGTCCCATAAGTGAAAAATTTTCGCTGATTTAGTCCTCCGGCGCCGGAGACGCCCGCGTGACTCGCCGAAGGTGACGTGTCCGCCAGGTGTCCTGCCAGGTCAATGACACCTGGCGGACACATGGATTTATTATTTTTTTCATTTTTTTTTTAATTTTTAAAATTTTTTTAGTTGGACCAAATAAAAAAAATTAAAAATCCAAATAAAATTAAAAATAAATTAAAAATAAGTTTTTAAAAAAATTAAAAAATAAAAAAAAAAATCCACGTGTCCGCCAGGTGTCGCTGACCTGGCGGACACGTCACCTCCGGCGAGCCACGAGGGCGTCTCCTGCGCCGGAGGACTAAAACAGCGAAAATTTTACTTATGAGACTAGTTTGCGATATGCTCCACTTACGATACTAAAATAATAAGGGGTCCAGTTATGAGACTAAAAAAAACAATTTACCCAAATATTATTGGGTGAACACACTATTTTGATATTTTTGCTATAATTTAAGAATAATAAATTTTTAACTGAAATATTTTTTTATTTAATATAATATAAATAAATATTGATATAAAATTTTAGATAAAAAATAAATATATAATATGATACTTTTGAGAAATAAAATTCTATGTTAATTTATTTGAAAGATAATTTTTTACTATTAGTAGGTAGGATGTTTAATGAATATATTTTAATTGTAATTTGCAGTATTTTTAATATGTAAAAATTCTCTATGTGCAGTAATTTTAGTATATTTGAGGTGGATACGAAAATGAAAACAATAAATATAAATTAAAAATTGAAAAAAGTATAAAGATATTTGAAGATATTTATTAAATTTTAAAGTGTCAAATGAAACTATATCATTTATTTGATTGTATTACAATTTTATTGTTTAAAGTCTTTCAAATACAAATTATTAATTTTTTAGTAAATATCAATTATGTTATATATTACAAATACCCCCAAATTAACAATTATTTACAACAATATTTATGAATATATACTATATAAAGTTTTTTAAAAAAAATACATTATTCAACAACTCTACATAGCACACGTTTTGTCTCGTACATATATAGTTAAAAAGATATTTAAATTTTAATTAAACTCTACTTATATTCATTTTTCAATATCACTATACGTCACGGCAGTGGTTTTGGTATTGATTGTTTCAAATTAACACGATAATAATTTGATCCAATCAACACATGCAATCAAGACATACAATCATATTCTATATAGCACAATACAATGATGTGTCTAATAAAAGCATTCATTATGAAGTTTTATATTTGTGTTGTATTTATAGTGCTAAAATCAATAATATACTATGGTTTAATAAATTATGTTATATATGTTAGAATGTATTCTATTTAATAAATTATATTACTACGTACAATTATATCATATGTATATCTTGATTTAGTGATAGAACCAAAACCCGATCAAGTGGGAGGGCTAATTGTTAACAAAATTAAAATAATATTACAATTTATCTATATACATCAAAAGATACACATCTATTTATTTTCAAATAATTGTATTCTATAGTGCTAAATGATATTATTCAGCACCTAACACTCGTCTTTGAAAATGTTGATAAATAACAAAATATAACAGTAACAACTGAATATATATTGCATATATTTATATTTGTGTTGTTTTTGTTTCTTTAGAATAAAATTTTTCTTTTAAACATTTATTAAGATTATCTAATTTCAACAACTAAAAATTTATTTGATTTTGGATATATTTAATTTCTATTTTTAGTAGTATTTTTAAAATGATATTTTATAAGATTAATATATATTTATAAAAGAAATCATATAAACTAAATAATAATAATTTTGATTAAAAAAATACACAAACCCTAATTTTAGTGTTTAAACAATTAATAGTAATAGGGGTATGGTGGGTTTAGTTAGCCTCTTGTGTTTGATTATATGTGTTAATCGGATCAATTTCAATTAGTATTACTCAAAAAGTACGTGTCACTGTTTCATCGGTAAGAATAACTCAAAACGGGATTGTAGAATATAGAATTTGAGCCTATGTAAGAACGTGGCTTTGCTTTTACGATGATTTATTTATTTATTCATTATGACGTGGGAACCCACAACCGCTACCGAAAATGCTGTGATTGTTGAATATAAAATTCGAGCCCATGTAAAATTGTGGCTTTGCTTTTACGATTATTTATTTATTTATTTTATGACGTGGACACTCGTAGCAACTATCTGAAAGTTCTGAGATTGTAAAATATAGAATTCGAACCCATGTAAAAATGTGGCTCTGCTTTTAAAATTATTTATTTATTTATTTTTTATGACGTGGAAATCGCAGTCGCTGCGGAAAATGCTGAGATTGTTGAATATAGAATTCGAACCCATATAAAAAAGCGGCTTTTCTTTTACTATTATTTATTTATTTTCATATGTATCATATATGCTTAATGAAGTGTTCAAATACACGTAGATAGGAACATACCACGTGAAACGTACACGTTCTGCAACAACGCACATTTCTAAGTTATATATATTATAGAATAGTTTCCCAAAGGTCTAAACTAACATTTATATTATACCAACAAGATCACGGTGCTGTAACCAATTCTTTGTTTGGGGAATTGGATTTAATTTTTACTATTTATCTCATTTTTTTCCACAAAGACATCAAATCAAATACCTATTTTTTATTTTTTATATTATACTAAAAATCAATTTTATATTCAAAACATCACATTAATACCTATTTATATCACATCATACAACTATTTAAATTTTAAATTTTTACTATTCAAACCTAACTCAAAATCCAAACCCCGAACAAACACACATATACATTATTTAAAATACAAAATGTCACCATTTGTACAATAATGATCAACTGTAATGAATTTTATATACTATTCACGCTGTTCGAGAGATATATATCTATTTCTTTTATAGACAAAAATTTTAATATAATATATACAAATCATTGTGTAAGAAAAAAAATTAAAAATATTGAATATATCTATTTCTTTTATATATACTTATATATGGATATATTAAACAAAAAAAACTTATTGAGCGATATTGTTGCAAAATATTTTGAATTGTACGTAGGAGTGCTAGTTAGGAGAGATCGATAATAAGTGAAATAGATATAATTATAAAATGATCAAATAAGTATAAATAGATAACGTACGTCTTTATTTCACACCGCATAAAAGACATATGCTATATATATTATATATTTATTGTTTGGAGAAATCAACACTCTACCGATTTTTCAACTATAACCCCTCCCATAAAATACTACTCCCTCCGTCCCATATAATATGAATCTATTACTATATATACGAGAATTTATGTAATAGTATAATTAGTAAGTAATGTATTAGTAAAAATAATTTTTATATAATAAAAATAATTATAGATTAAGATTAAAATAACTAAATATTTTAATTAAGATTAAAATAATTAGATAACTAAATAGTTTAATTAAAATTAAAATAATTATAAATTAAAATTTAAGATAACTAAATAGTTTAAAATTTACTTTCCAAAAGTAAATAAATACCTACATCATATACAAGAGGAGTATAATATATGTTGTTCTAATAATTATTTACGTAGTTTCAAAATAAATTATACAAATTCAATCATTAAGTTTTTACTTATGTATTTATATATTAAATGCTATATTATGCAATATATTAACAAAATACATAAAAATTGTTGAAAATTATATATAAATTTAATTGTAGATATAGGATTTAAATATAACATATATAGTGCTGGAATTTGTGCAATCAAATATGTTTCCCCTTCCTAAAAATAAAATAATAAAACAAAAAGACAAAAACAAAACAAAAATATCATATCAAGTAAAGAATAATTTAATAATATGAAATTAACTGATAATCATAAAGGTTTATCTAAAGTTCACTTTAAAAATAATGACAGTAAATTTCTACGTCATAAATATGTATGTTTGTTTCAAAATATCATGTTAAGATGCTAATTGAGATTTAAATATATATTTTGTGTATCATATATCATATGATATTAGTTAATATTCCTTTTGTTTCATTATATTTATTTTATTACTAATTTTATCAACGATAAAATATTCAATATTCAACTATATTTATTTACTATAATTATATATCATTATCATTCTACTTAAATTTTTATAATTACCAACCTAGTTTTATACTTTTATTATTTTTACAAAAAAAAATTATTATTTTTACTTAATCTCCTTGCCGACATCAAAATAGTTGATTTACCGGATGATAGAAGTATTTTGTATTTTACTATATTTTAAAATCAAATATATGCTAAAATTAATGATGATGTGTACTATGTGGACCATTATCATAATATTTGCATTATACTAACATATAATCTTTTATTGAGAGCAACTATAATATATTGTGTAAACTATTATCATTTATTGACACGTCGATCAATACCTCAGAATTTAAATATTAGGACCATATGAACAAATACATTATCGACACCTCATCCGCTTCGAAATAAAAACTAAGAAATCACCTCATGAAACTATGCAACCACCAAGTAATAAGAATACACATCGAAAATGATCCTCATTATTATACCACAAGATTCTGAAAAACGATTGATATAAATAACAAGTTGTTTAGAGAAAAAACAAACAAACCAAATTCACCATGGTTTCCGAAGGAAGTTCTTCCAAGAAAGTATGTGTGATCGGCGCCGGTCCGTCTGGAATTGTTGCCGCTCGGGAGTTAAGAAAAGAAGCCCACAATGTGGTGGTTCTCGAGCAAAACCACGACGTGGGAGGGCAATGGTTGTATGATCCCGATGTTGTAAAAGGGCATCCGATGGGACAAGAGAGGTTCCTCGAGGTTCATAGTAGCATATACGCCTCGTTGAGGGTAATTTCGCCGAGAGAGATAATGGGCTACACGGACTTACCATTTGTTGTCAAGGCGGATAGGGACGGGAGGAGGTTCCCCGGCCACCGGGAAGTTCTTCTATACCTACAAGACTTTTGTGAGAGGTTCAAGTTGAGAGAAATGATACGGTTCAACACACGGGTAGTGAGCACAAAGATGTTGGATTACCCTGTCGCGACGAATAACTTAAAGTGGTTGGTTAAAAGCACGGCGGCTGATAAGGTGGTGGAGGAAGTCTATGACGCGGTGGTCGTCGCGACCGGCCACTACTCCAAACCGAGGTTGCCCAAAATAGAAGGTAATAATAATCTTTGGGTAAAATTGTTCATAAGTCCCATATAGTTTAAAAACTCAGCGTAAATCCCCTTTTATTTTAAAAATTGCATAGCTCATTTATCTTTTAAAAATGGTTGCATAAAGTCCATATTTACAATTTTTGTGTGAAAAGAAGATGATTTTCCATCTACATTTTTTTGCATGGGGTTTCATGCAACTGTTTTGAAAGTATTAGAGACCATGTAATTTTTAAAGTATATAAAAATTTACGCTGAGTTTCGAAACCACAAGAAAGTTACGGACAATTTTGCCTAATTTATATATATATAGTCGTACTTTCATTTAAGTATAATCTATATATTAATATATATGCGTATCTATGCGGAAAAAAAAAATTAAAGGGGACTTTTAACATTTATATAGGAATGAATTATTGGAAGAGAAGACAAATACATAGTCATGTTTACCGTGTTCCCGATCCTTTCAAGAATGAGGTAATGTAATATAAGAATTATTTTAAACATTCTAGTTCTGTTTATTTCGAAAATTTCATTTTACTTTCTATACTATACAACATCAATACACCACCATTTTCTTATAAAACATATTAATTTTATATATAAAATGTCATATTTATCAATTATTCTACTCAAAAGTTAAAAATATAAATAAAAATACAAAATAAACAAAAATCTCATTTTACTGTTGAAAATAATATCAAAGAATGGTGCTATTATATATGTTGAGATAAGAGACTCACTCCAACTTCTGAGTTGAGAATAAAAGAGTTGTACATATCCTAATACAAGCAACAATATACTAATTACTAATGCATTCTTGAAATAGCTGCAATTATTGTTAGGTTATTCTATTTTATTTACTAAAAATTGTTTACAAATATCACAGAAATATACTTTGTTTGATTGTGTTTATAAATATCACAAAAAAATTGTTTTTTTATATATTGGACAATGACTTTGTTGCAGGTGAGTGACCATTGGCATGGGTTTCTTGGTCCCGTCATAGTGCCCACTAGGTTTATAACTTTTTTGTCTAGTTTATTATTGTTGGATATATTTTATAAATTATTTTTTTTCACAATAGTAAAAATAGTAAGAGATTTAGGGTCCAAGGAATATATATATATATAATTTTTTTACTTTTGATGAGGGATATATACATATTAGATTGTTTAGTTGTAGTTTAAAATTTATTTGAAATGATGTATTTATTTAAAATTTTTATTTAAATAATATTTTAATTTAATATTTTTTTAAGAATAAATAATATATTTTTATTGAAATTGTGCGGATTAAATAATGTTGATTGGAATTAAGAATGGTAAAAAACAAACTCTCATGCTCCAATATTGAAAACATTTAGTAGTCTAAGTTAGAAAATAAAATTGGTGTTAATTTGGAGGCTTTTTTTACAATATTTTTTGCTATTGAAATTCTTTTTTTTTAAAAAAAATATTAAATTAAATATATATTTTTATATTACATTAAAATTAATTTTAGATTTACAATATCATACTAACACTTATTTTAATCAAATTTAATAACTATTCAAATTTAAAATTTTATTACTCAACTCCGAACAAACAATCTATTTCTTCTTTTTTTGAAAAAAATAAATTTATGTTATATTAATTTATATCTATTTTTAATGTTATTTTAGTTTAAAGAAATTACTCCGTTTCGTTTGCTAATATTAAGGCAACAGACAATATTTATGTACATGTGGATTGTGTATGTTTGATTGAAATACAATGACAAAGTTGTCATGTCATTATATGTTTAAGTATGTGTAATATTTTGATGAATAGAAAGAGTAGTTGTATAAGTGTAATATTTAAAGTGAATAGAAAGAGTGGTTGTATAAACTTACATTTGATAAAAATATTTAGATGAATAACCGATAAATTTGACAGACAACATTGTTAAACTAATAAAATGGTAGGCATATACTTTGATAAAAAGAAAGTAATTACAATTTTGATCAATAAAAAAAATAATATTTGACATTAAATTATTAATTTTTTTTTTAAAATAAGTATAATATATAATTTCTAGTGTATAAATATGTTTATATATCATTTTCTTTAATATGAATGAGAAACATATTAACAGAAAATTATTAGGTGAACACACGTATTTCTAAATCAGTCAAATTTTTTTACCAATTATTTTTGAATTTACTATCTTCTAATTTTTTAGCATCATATCTTAAGAAAAATATATTATGTATTAAAAGAATTTGAAACTTTCTGATATGTATTAATGATATTTTATTAATAATATTTATTTTTAATTATTTATATAAATATAAATTGAAAATATATATACTCATTTTGTTCAGTACCATAGAAAGTTAAGAAAGGTTCCGACTTCAATATATTCAAAGAGTAATCATAAAAAAAAACACATTATTGAATGTGTTAGAAATTCATAAATTTATTTATCATCTTCTTTTTTTTTTTTTTTTTTTTTGTTTTAAGATAGTTTTTTCACTGAAAACATATATATGAGCACGCCATGAATCTTGTTTAAATCGCTGAAGTTAATTATATCTTTTAACAGGTAGTTGTAGTTGTCGGGAGCTCATATAGTGGACTCGATATATCGATGGAGTTGGTAAACATGGCAAAGGAGATTTACCTAAGCAGCAAGACCCTTTATATTTCGGAAGGCTTTTCAAAAATAATCTCAAAATATGACAATCTACATCTTCGTCCACAGGTTCGCAAAATCAATGATAGCCATGTTCAAAAAATGAGAAGAACCAAGGGAAATTCTCATTGTGTTCTTACATTTTTGTCACAATGAATTAGATGACGAGCTTTTTTTAACAATTTTCAGATAGAATCACTCCGCGAAGATGGGAAGGTCTTGTTTATAGATGGCACTTGGACCATCGCAGACACTATAATATATTGCACCGGGTAAAATATCAAATACCATGTCAAATATTTATCATCTACAACCTCGAAAAAAAAATCATCGAGCAAAAATGAATACATACATTAAAACAAATGGTCATAAACAAGTTATTCATGAATTGTCTACGATGTAGTTGTTCCTAGCACTTTTCCCATGCCGGTATATAACTTGAAGTATATTTTATTTCTTGACTGCGTTCACTTTGTTTTTTGGATTAATATACTTTTTTATACTAAGTATGGAGGGATTATGTCGATTGGTTATATAAAAAAAAATAACATTTTATATTAAATTGTTGATTTGAGAAAAATATATATTATATATATTGTATTGTTAGTAATATTAATCGAAAAGCGTATAAAAATTTATTATTGAGTGAACACACTCTAAGTTTTCGACTCAAATATGCAAGATAAATTTTAAGAACGTGTGGATTTTGCAGGTATTCTTATACACTTCTGTTTCTTGACACCAAAGGGATTGTAGGGATAGATGATGATAGGGTCGGACCACTTTACGAGCACATGTTTCCTCCTTTGCTAGCTCCTTCTCTATCTTTCATCGGCATTCCTAGAAGGGTAATAGACCGTATACACTATCTTTTGAAATTTTAGCTCTCTTGCATGTCTAATACAAGTGTCGAGACTTAAAGTATCAATATTAACACGCATACTTGTTGAATAGTACTCTCTTTGAGTAACTATTAAGTATTCATGGCTTGCGCGCTTCTTCGTATTTGTGTGTAGGTTATAGGATTTCCTTTATTCGAAGCCCAAGCAAAGTGGATAGGTCAACTATTGTCCGGGAAGAAAAGGCTGCCATCGCTGGATGATATGATGCAATCGATCAAAGAGTTCTATCACATGTTAGATGTTTCTTGTATTCCTAAGCACGAAACACATCTTATGATCAAAGGCTTTGAGGTAAATGTCATACACAATATATAGATGTTACGCGTATAATTTTCTTAACAAATAACAAAAACTATTGTATTACTTTTTAGGTTTAGAACCTAAATCATATCACAAGCTAGACATGTTTACCTATTCTTTTAACTATCTTTCTGTACTATTCATAATACTTTTCTTTTCTACGAAATATGGCAAAAAACTGATATTTTATCTAAGATATTAACTCAACAATACATTTGTTGTGAAATATAATATTCGATATATATTTTTCACTTAAATATCACATCAAATATATATTTTTAATTAAATTATTATCATTTTCAAAATAACCCAAAACATTGTTTCTTGCAGTATATGGATCAAATCGCAGACTATACGGATTTTCTACATTTAGAGGAATGGCGAAAAACTCTTTGCCTTTCGACTGCAAGAAGAGCGGAGATCAACTTGAAGACTTACCGAGATTCATACGATGATGATGAAGAGATGATGCAAGTTGCTTTTAACAGCCTCCATTTTAAGCAGTTTGAACTTGAAGAAGAACAAAAACCACAAGAAGATTCAAAACTAGCTTGTGAAGAATTAAGTATTTATGACTAGGCATTCAATACTATACTATTATTTACTTTTTTTTTGTATTTTGTAAAATATTAATGTATGTATTTTCAGAAAATAATAATAATTGACTTTGGATGTTGTTGAAACGTGACTTGGATTTAGCGGTCTACCCGGCCTGAAACCAAAGCGAAAGGGCCGTTTCAATTGGCAGGGTTCCTTTTGGGCTTATCCAATTAATAACAAATAGGCTTAGGTTTAGGGTGTTTTGGGGTGCTTATAAATAGATAGCTATGGTTGCTAGTCGTATGACATGATTGTAACTCTCTAAATCAGTATAATAAAAATCTCTCTGGTTCCTGCCCGTGGACGTAGATTGACACACCGTCACCGAACTACATAAAAGCTCTGCGTTCTTTATTTGCTTTATTTCTCATTTTCTAATAACAAGTGGTATCAGAGCCATATCTGATTTATTGAAGATGTCTTCGTATAAGTTTGATCTGGATAAGTTTAATGGGTCGAATGACTTCACACTCTGGAAGGTCAAGATGAGGGCACTTATGGTTCAACAAGGATGTGCGGCTGCGTTGGAGGGATAAGACAAGTTTCCTAAAGACACGAGGGAGGAGATAAATAAGGAGATTTTGGCAAGGGCTCATTTCGCGATCTTGCTGTCAGTTGCTGATGAGGTGTTACGGGAGGTTGTAGATCAAACGACGACTTTTGGGCTATGGAATAAACTGTGTGAGAAGTACCGGAATAACTCTCTCACGAACAGGCTATATCAGAAGCAACGTTTTTACACCCTCTGGATGTCCGAAAGTACTCAGGTAAAGGATCATCTTGATACCTTTAACAGTATTATTCTTGATCTTCAAGGGGTTGCGGTTAAAGTAGATGATGAAGATCAAGCCCTAATTTTACTGTGTTCACTACTTGGTTCATATGAGAATTTTGTAGATACTAGGTTATATAGTAGAACTACAATTTTTGTTAATGATGTGAAAGATGCCCTTATGTCCAAAGAATTGAAAAGAAAGGTTTCTATGGAAGAGGGTTCTGGTTCAGGTCTGTTTGCAGGTAAAAGAAGACCACGGGAGAGGGGTAACGGGAATGGGAGGTCGCGGTCAAAATCAAAATCCTATAGCAAAGTTAAGTGTTATCTTTGCAAGGAGAAGGGGCACGTTAAAAGGGATTATCCACAAAAGAAAGGAAATACAAAAGTTGATTCTAGCAACAGTGGCAGCAGTGCTGCTGTGGTACAAGATAGTTCTGATGATGGGGACTTTGGTGAAGTTTTGACAGCTTGTAGTACTAGTATTGCTGATTTCTGGATTATGGATACCGGTGCTTCTCACCATATGACGTTCTCTCGTGATCTACTCTCTTCTTTTAAGAAGTGGAATGAAACGGTGAAGTTAGGTGATGATGGGGTTCTAGCCATAAAGAGGAACGGGACAGTGCAGATAAAATTGTATGATGGTACTGTCAGGAAATTTGACTATTGGTATGTTTCTGAACTCATAAAAAATTTGATTTCTCTTGGCACCTTAGCCAAGAATGGTTTAAAATATCATGGTGAAGGTGAGTGGGTGAAAGTCCTAAAAAATGCTCTGGTGATAATGAAGGGTAAACTGCAGCATGGAATTTATTTTCTACACGGCAGTTCAGTGATGGGAACGGCGGCGGTATCCCAGTCCTTGGATAAACATGATGACAGGACAAATTTGTGGCACTGTCAATTAGGTCACATGAGTGAGCAAGGGTTGTCTGTGTTGAGTAGAAGGGTTTATTTGGTGAGGATGTGATGAGTAAAATTCAATTATGTGAGGCTTGTGTAAAAGGGAAGCAACGCAGGGTATGGTTTAGTACCGGTCATCACACTTCAAAAGAAATTCTGGAGTATGTTCATTCAGATCTATAGGGTCCCACTCCGGTGAAATCGTAGGGCGTGTGTTCTTACTTTGTCACTTTCATAGATGATTATTCGAGAAAAGTTTGGTTGTACTTTCTGAAGACTAAAGATGAGGTGTTTGGGAAGTTCAAGGAGTAGAAGACCATGGTTGAAAAACGGACGGGTAAACAGGTCAAGACTCTAAGAACTGATAATGGGTTGGAGTTCTGAAATGCTCCATTTGATGATTTCTACAAGAAAGAAGGTATAGTGAGGCACCGCACTGTACGACATACAACACAACAAAATGGAGTTGTAGAGCAAATGAACCAAACCCTCATGGCGTGTACTCGGTGTATGCGTATATTTGCTGGCTTATCTAAGCAATTCTGGGCTGAAGCAGTTAACACTGCTAGCTATCTGGTTAATAGATCTCCATCAACTGAAATTGACTTAAAGACTCCTCAAGAGGTATGGTTCGATAAACTCTCTGATTACTTTAATCCAAGAATATTTGGATGCCCTGTATACGCTCATATGAATGATGGTGAGCTAGAGCCGAGGGCGGTAAAATGCATATTTCTAGGGTATGTAATAGGAGTCAAAGGTTATCGACTGTGGTGTACAGAAGGTAAAAATCCTGGTAAATTTCTTATTAGCAGAGATGTAACCTTTGATTAATCCTCTATGCTTGATCAGAGTAGAGGTTGTGAAAGTATTGCAGGTACAAAAGACTGTGGTGCTGACCAGATGGTGGAGTTTGAGACTCCTGACAGAGTTGTGTTAAAGGAAGAGCAGCAGGATAATACTATTGATCAATCCGATCAACCAGAGAGGAAGAGCAGCAGGATAATACTATTGATCAATCCGATCAACCAGATCATTCAAAACTTCAAGGGAAACTGGTTGAGGAGGAAGCTGATGACGTTGGTATTGAGGTTGAAGATTCCATAGCAACAAGAAAGGGAAAAAGAAATATTCAGAAACCAACTAGGTTTGCAGGATGTGTCAATACATGTGACATGAATTCTGTGGCTTACGCATTGGCAGTTGGTGATGATCTTGGCTCTGATGAGCCAAAGACATATAAAGAAGTTGTGGTGAGTAAAGATGCAGAAAACTGGATTATAGCAATGAATGAAGAGATGCAATCTCTTGGAAAGAACAAGACTTGGGATCTTGTTGCACTACCAAAAGGGGTGAAGCCAGTGGAATGCAAGTGGGTCTTTAAAAGAAATGAGGGAATTCCTGGTATTAAATGTGCTAGGTTCAAGGTGAGACTGGTGGCAAAAGGGTTCTCATAGAAGGAAGGAATCGATTACCATAAAGTCTTTTCTCCTGTGGAGAAACACAAAACTATCCGGGTTCTTTTGGCAATGGTGGGTGCTTTTGATCTGGAGCTGGAGCAGCTTGATGTAAAAACAACATTCCTTCATGGTAATCTAGAAGAACGTATTTACATGTCTCAACTGGAGGGTTCAGCAGTTCTAAATGGGACCAGGTATGCTTGTTAAAAAAATCTCTATATGGCTTGAAACAGTCTCCGAGGTAGTGGTATAAGAGATTTGATTCTTTCATGGTGTCTAATGGTTATACTCGTAATCAGTTTGATAATTGTGTTTACTCGAAGAAAGTTCTAGTGATTCCTTTGTGTATCTGTTGTTGTATGTGGATGATATGTTAATTGCAGCTAAAAACATGGCTGTAATTAATTACTTGAAGGCTCTACTAAAGGGTGATTTTGAGATGAAGGATTTGGGTGCGGCAAAAAAAATACTGGGTATGGAGATCTGGCGTGATAGAGAAGCAGGACGGCTATGGGTTTCTCAAGAAAAGTATATTGAGAAAGTTTTGCAGGCATTCTCTATTGATCAGTCCAAATAGGTAAGTACCTCTTTGGCGGCACACTTTAAACTTGATCAAAGCACTATACCCGCTACAGATGAAGAGGTTAGCTACATGAAGACGGCTCTATATTCAAGTGCAGTTGGAAGTCTTATGTATGCGATGGTATGTATGAGACTGGATTTCGCTTATGCGGTTAGTGTGGTGAGCAGGTTTATGGCTAATCCGGGTAAAGCTCACTGAGGAGTTGTAAAGTGGATCTTGCGATATTTGAAAGGAGCGTCTGATATTTGTCTGGTATATGATGATAAAGGCCATGGTGATGGTCTGGTTGGCTATGCAGACTCTGATTATGGGGGTGACTTGGTGAAACGAAGATCACTGACTTGCTTTATCTTCACTCTGTTTAGATGTGCAGTCAGTTGGAAGTCTACTTTACAACCTACGGTTGCACTGTCGACGACTAAGGCGGAATACATGTCAATGACTGAAGGTATTAAGGAGGGTATCTGGTTACATGGTCTGGTGCAGAGTTTGGGTCTAAAGGTGGAGAAACCAGTGTTATTCTGTGATAGTCAGAATGCTTTGAGTTTGGCTAAAAATCTAGTGTATCATGAGAGAACCAAGCATATTAATGTGACGTTGAATTTTATCCATGATATTTTGGAGGAAGACAGGTTTTATATTAAGAAAATAGCTACATAACACAATCCAGTTGATATGTTGACAAATGCGCTACCGACGGAGAAGTTTGAGCACTGCTTGAACTTGGTGAGTATTCGTAGGTGGTAAAGCCCCCTTGGGGCATCTGGCAGGAAGGAGACGACTGAGAGATACTGACGAATCTTTGGCGGTTGGATAAACTCCAAGTCAAGCTGAAGATTGTTGAAATGTGACTTGGATTTAGCGGTCTATCCAATCCGAAACCAAAGCGAAAGGGCTGTTTCAATTGGTAGGGTTCCTTTTGGGCTTATCCTAATTAATAACAAATAGGTTTAGGTTTAGGGTGTTTTGAGGTGCTTATAAATAGATAGCTATGGTTCCTAGTCGTATGACATGATTGTAACTCTCTGAATCAGTATAATAAAAATCTCCCTGGTTTCTGCCCGTGGACGTAGGTTGAGACACCGTCACCGAACCACGTAAAACTTCTGTGTTCTTTATTTGTTTTCTTTCTCGTTTTCTCATAACAGATGTGTTTGTTAGTATCTTTAATTTGAGGTCTTTTTATATTAGATATTAGAAATTTTGGGAAAAATAATGAGATTGTCTTATTGATCATCAAAATAAGGGGCCTATATACAGACAATACAAAACATACTCGATAGACTCTAATCTAAGTAATCTAATATATGAATAAGACCAAATCTAAATATCAATCTATTAAATCTAAAATTGAATATCTAAAATATCTCAACATCGTCTCTCAAACTTAAGTGGTATAACAGAAAATAACTTGAGTTGATAAGAAAGTTGAATCTAGACGTAAAAAATGCAAATAAAATAACAGTTGACTCTCCACCAGAGCCGAAAACGATATTACTCTCCACCGGAGCCGAAAATGACATGACTCTCCGCCGGAGCCGAAAACGATATGAATCTCCACCGGAGCTAAAAACGACGTCAGTCTCCACCGGAGCCGAAAACGGCATGACTCTCTACCGGAGCAAAAAATGATATGATTCTCTACCGGAGTCGAAAACGACATGACTCTCCATCGGAGTCAAAAACAGTGACTCTCATTTGGAGCCAAAAACGACAGGACATTGAATGGAATCAGGGTCAAACACAGACAGGTAGCACACAAAACAGATCGCAGACATCAGACGAATCACAAACAACAAACAGATCACAGACATCGGACATATTGCAGAACATATCGCAAACATCAGACATATCACAGAACAAATCGCATATAGCAGAAAAATCACATCGCAAAAATCGGAAAGATCACAGAACAGATTGTAGACACCAGACAAATTATAGAACAAATCGCAAAACATATGGAATAACTCAACCGGTAACAGTCGCAAAAACAAAATCAACTCCTATTACAAAACCAACCACACACAACATAGGGAATTAAAGCAGAAGGTGGTGGCCGGAGGTAGCCCCACGCTCCTGTACGCCTAGCCGGAAGAGTGGCGGCAAAAAAAGCTCTTCCGCCACGATTTGCGTCGGCGGCACATGGCGGCTCCATGCGCGGCAGTTGGCGGCGAATTTTTTATGGCTAGCTGGCAACGATGAGGCGCTTCTAACGGCGGCGGCAGCGGTGTCGACTGGCGAGTAGCGGGTGACGGCGAACAATAGTGGCGTCGGCTAGGGCTTCTGTTTTGGAAAACCGGGCTAGTAGACAGATCTCAGACAAATTTCATAGACATGTTTGGAAAGGCTGATTTCAAAATCATAAGATTTCTGGGTACAATCAAGGTTGAATGTACCCGGAGAAACAAGGGTTGGTAAGCTATGTCTAGCCCATGAGAAAAATAGACTCTGATACCATGTTAGAAATTTTGGGGGAATATAATGAGATTGTCTTATTGATCATCAAAGTAAGAGGCCTATATATAAACAATATAAAACAGGCTCGATAGACTCAAATCTAAGTAAACTAATTTATGAATAAACCAAATTTAAATATAAATTTACTTAATTTAAAAATAAATATCTAAAATATTTCAATATTAGATATGCATGGAAAAATATGTTAATATTATAAAAGATACCTACGTTCCGCTTGCAACCAAAACCGAATTATGAATTGAATTTTTAATTTTTTACAAATGAATATATTCTATTATATTGTGCATGTAAGTATGTGTATTAGTATATGTTTTGATAATATTAATTCTGGAAATGTGACGAAAAATTGTATTGAGTGAACACACTTGTGATTGTTGAACTATATTGTTATTTCTATAAGAATTTAAATTAAAGTAAAAATATTTAATATGGAATTTCCCTGAAACTCTCACATTGGTGCTATCGGAATTTGAATCTATGTATTGTTTGGTGCAACATGCGACCATGATCATTTGAGTTATGCTTATGCCCTGAATGTAGAAAAATTTAGTTTTTTTTTTTTTTTTTTAGAACCCATATTTACTATCTATACATATATATATATATATTTTTCCTCCAAAAAAATTAAAATCAAATACATATTTTTCAATTTTTATGTTATACATTGCATTGATTCTTCTATTATATTCAATTAATTTACTCTAATTTATTATTATTATTATTTTTAATTTACTCGAATTCAATTAATTTACTCTAATTTAGTTTTATTTAGGTATAAAGTTGTTCTATAATTTATAATATTCTCAATAAACAGTACTCATATTTTTCACTAAAAACATATTAATTTTTAACATAATATTTTAAAAATAAGACAAATAAATATTCTAATAGTGATACTTTTATCATTGTCCGTAACGTTTGATGATTCTCAATAATGAACACAAAATTTTAGAAAATACTAAACAGTAAAAGAACCGAATAAAACTAAAAAAATATAATAAAAATAATAATATAGGTGGAACTTGTTGGGTTTTATTTCGGATCGACCGACCCAAAACTCGCATGACCCGACCCGATCCGGACCTACCTGAACCGACCCATGTTTGATTTATAATCTAATCCATTGATTCTTCAATTTTGTTTCTCCTCCCCTTCCCTATTGCCATAGTTTCTCTTGCAGGAGAGAAAAATTGGGATTTGTTGTTGTTGTTTCTCTTGGTAATGCGATGATTGAAGTTGATAAGGTAAATCTGCTCATCTCTTTTATGGGTTTATCCATTACTCCCTCTAGCTATATATACATCAGTGGATTCGTGGGTTTTCGGGTGAGAACTGAGAGGGAAAGAAAATACATATATATTGAACTTGATGATTCTTTATTCTTCCCCGTGACGACTGGTGGTTAGTGGAGTTTTGCCCTCCAATTTTGTGTTCCTTTTCTTCAGTTGGAATCGATAGCGGGTTCTTGGGTGCATTTCGAATTCTCCCTCTTTGTGGTGTTGCCTCATTGGAAAGCTTGGAGTTGGCAAGGAGTGGGCTGTGTGACCTGAGCCGCCAAATTGTTAAAGATTTGATTCAAAATTAATTAGGATATATTTTATAATTATTATTTATTACATTCAGTTTTAGAATAATTAATAATTATTCTATGTTTATCTTTGAAGTGTAATCTAAATATATCAGATGTTTTCCATTGAATAAAATAAAGTTTTTGAAGTTTATCCAAAAATCAGCCCTGCACGTCCTCTCTGTTCTATTCTTCTCCATCGTCTACAGCCTGGTTTGGTGGCAATTTTTCTTTTGATTTGCAGCAACTCTGGTATCAGAGCATAGGTATGGCAAATAAATCCGGATTGAGCATCTCACAGCCGGAAATTCCAATTCTTTCAGCCAAAAATTAAGAATTTTTGAGCATTAAATGCAGACATTGTCAAATCGCAAGATCTGTGGGACTTTGTTGAGACCGGATACTTGGAGCAAGATCCCGATGAAGCGAGATTGAGGGAGAATAAGAAAAAGAATTCCAAGACACTGTTCTTCATACAATAAGTAGTTCATCACTCAAACTTTTTGCAGCTCCAATAGCGAAAGAAGCATGGAACACTTTGAAAATGACATTTCAAGGATCTGCGAAGGTTCTTACTGTGAAGCTTCAAACTCTCAGACGTGATTTTGAAACTGCGCATGAAATGTCCCGATTTCGGAGTGTATAAAATAATATTATTATAGCAAAAAAAATAATTTTTATAATATTTTGGGATCAAGAAAGTAATATTCGAAAACAAATTTTATTTCTATTTTATATATTGATTATAATTATAGAAACTGTTAAACAAATAAATATCAATACAGCTAAATATAACTATAAAATATATATGATTTAATATAATATAATATAATAATAAGAATAGGATAACGCAGTGATGAAGATAACATTAATAATAATAATATAATATAATATAATACATAATAATAATAATAATATAATATAAATATATATATTAACGAATAAACAAGCAAAATTTTACCTGCGAAGGAAGGAGAAGAAGAAACGCGCAGGAGAAGAAGGCAGAGAAGAAGAAAGAGAAAGGAAAAAAAGAAACAAAACGATTTAGCCGTCCGATTTTGATTTCGACTTTGATATTGTATTCCTTGTTATATATAGAAATTAATTATGGATTTTAATATGAATTTCGATATTGGAGATATTAAATTGGAAATTCTTAAAAAATTCATAACTGGCTATTTGGCTATTTAATCGACTAAGTTTTTTAGCTGATAGTCTGTTCTTAGTCCTAGCGTTATATTTTGAAAATTTCGTATCGATCCGAGTCGAATTGAAAACGGCAGTGTACTGCACCTGCCTATTTATTCATATATCTACGTATTTTTATTTAATAATCGGGCGATATAAATATTATGAGGTATAAGAGTTTTATAGCTAAAATATAGTATTCTAGTAAATATAAAAGTTTGAAATCCAACAAGCTAATTATAAAAATTAGCTTTTGAATAAGCAGGTAGCTCCTATGAATAAGCATATTGCTCAGCTGATTTGAGTAAATAATGAGACAGGAGTACGTTGGAGGTGATTTGGGTGAGATTGCAAAAGTTAGGGAGTGTCGACAAGAGGTAAGCAGTAAGAAATTAAATTTAATTTTAAGAAATTAAGTATGCATGTTGCATGCTATTCTGATTAATATGTTAATGTGATATTATGTGAATCATTTTGTCAATGCATGTATATATTTATATAAATATATATATGTGCGTATGTGATAACTCCAAATAGAAGCATATTCTTAGCTTGACAAAACTGTGTATTACTCGAATTTCTGTATAAAAACCATCACAATGAATCATCAATGGCATACATTATTGATATATATCGCTTGGCATGATCCAGAAGTCGTTGTTGAGATTATTAACGATTTTTGTCTTTTTAAGCGGTAGTCTGGTACCAGAAAAGCTAAGGCAGATGCCACAAGCGACAGCCATCTTCGCTAGCAAGCGCCCATAATACAGCCTGGAAATACTAAGGCATGAGAGGCAAGCGGCAGCCTTCACCGCCCGCAAGCGACAGCCTCTCCCGCTTGCAAGCGATAGCCCAGACACCCACCGCTGCAGACTATCACCAGATTCCAACTAAGTGTTTCAACTGCAGCGGTACATCCATTTCATTTCCAGCCAGCACAAGCGAACCTAGCTGCGCTGATGCCCTCCAGCCCTTCGGCAAGTGAGGAAGATCTGCGCCCCTACAGTTCAAGGCAATCAAAGCAAGCGCCCTGGGAGTTATGACCAGCAACTGCCTCAACAGAATAACTACCAGCAACCGCCTAACTGCCCAGCCGTTGGAACTGCCCAACAACCGATTGCAACTGTTCCGTTTCACCTGCTATAAATAGGGCCAGATATCTGTATACAAAAAAGGATCGATACTTCGATTTTAAACACTCTTAGCAAGTACTACGCAGCAAGTCGTCTTCCTGTTTCCGAGAGCTCCAAGCCTGTAAGGGAGTTCTCCACAGGAATGGCCAAGGGAGTAGGAGTTTTTCTTCTCCCTTGGCCAAGTCTTTAAAACTTTCTTAGAATAGATTATTGCTTTCATTTACAGCTTTGTAGCATTAGTCTTTTCATGCTTTCGTAGTAGATAATGAAATATCATGCAGTTCTTCATCATAAATTCTTCCACCATTTTTTACACACTTATATAAACTTCGAAATTAAAGAATTCCATTTCACTGGTTTAGAGCTAAAGAAGAATTGATTATTTAAGCCTTGTTATGCGCCAAAAGCGGTCTCAAGGTAGTTCAATGTAGTTAAGTACGCGGGAGCCTTGTCGACCTGCTTAACTGCTGTTCTGAGAGGTAACAGAAGGGTAAAGCCACTAATGAGGCAGATTTCGGGAAAATTAATTGTACATAAGCAGTGATCTATTAGATCGCAGAGATTCCTAGTGACAGTAGGGTTTCTTTCTTATAATATCTTGAATCTGGGTGTCATTGAAGTCTTGTTGTAAATCCCTTAAGGTCAAAAATTCCAGTCTTATGAATTCCTTATATTTAGTTTATATAATTACACTACTTCCTTCTCACCGCTTCCGTAAATACATATAACTCCGTAACACAATTTCATCGCTCGCTCATTGCCTCTAGGGACATCTATCCATTTAGTAACGCACAGTTCAGACACAACATCTCTCTTTCAATCTCGGTCACTCATCTATATATATATATACTTATACATATAATGTGCCGCTCGCTCATGTCCCGATCACTCAGTAACCGCCACTCACCCATGTCCCGTTCATCTGGTCCCCGCTTCCGCTCATGTCCCGATCATCTGGTTACCGCTGGCACTTCATCTTCCGCCTTCCCTTTGCTCACCCCTGCTCATCCCATTTTTACCGCTTTTTATAGTCTAGTTATCGGATCCGCTGTAAGCGGATCCCTTTCTGCATTCTCATCACTTTTTCAAGATCTTCACCGTAGAAATTCATTACTTAAAATCCTTGTGTTCGACCTGGAAACTCACCAGTAAAAAGAGTATAAATAATTGTGATGACTACTCAGGGTCTACAACCACAAAAATTGCTATATCTGATCATTTTCTATAAATTCTCACTCACTGATTTTCGAATATAAATTCCCTGTGAATTGTGTAAAATTAAACATATTTTTAGCATTATCATAATTTGATGCCGTTGCCGGGGATTTTAAACTCATAAAAAGTATTCTGGTTGAGGATCTTCTGAAGCGCCATAAATTATGTTTAAATTCTTTGTAATGATTTTTGTATATTTACTAATTTCACTGACTTTTTCTTTGATGTGGCTATCATTATGTAGGGGTCCGAAGCATTTTCAGCGTGCCACAAGTCCTACTCCTTTCGCTCGATCACAGAGATGTCTGTTTAGAGAGCAAGTTCGAGAAAAACTCATGGTGAACCAAGGAAATGTTGCCGCTGCTTCTACTGTCGTCCCAACTTTCCAGACTGTCGCTGGGACATCTTCCAACTCTGCCACATCTACATCTTCACTCCACATCCCCACTGTGGTCCCTGCTGCCGTTCCCCATGCGCTCACACCGACTGAGGAGCAACTAATGAGAGCCCTCAGTAGCATCCAACAGGGAATGGCGGGGCTGCAAGCACACCTCGTTCAGGTGGAGCAGGCTCAAGCTGCGCAGGGAGCATTTATCGCTTCCCAAGCGGCACAAGTTGTCAACACCGCTACGATACCCGCTACCATCACTCCCCCACCACCACCTACTGTTGAGCCTTACCAGAGGGCTGAGGGACACAGGGCTGCTGATCGCCCGTTTGCTGAAGTCCCCATGGACGTTCATTACCAGTCCCTTCTGGATCATACAAGTTCTGCGCCCAGAGGCTCTGGCAACTATGAGGTAAAACCAGCGCTCGTCAGTCTGGCGAGCCAGAGCCAATTTCATGGGTTGCTCAATGAAAGCCCTTATTAGCATCTACAGAACTTCAACAGGATCGCTGCCACCTCCAAATCTCACGGCATCACGGAGGACGTTGCAAAGTTGATACTGTTTCCATTTTCGTTATCTGGAGAAGCCAGGAAATGGTTCGATAACCTTTATCCCATTCCTGGCTCTTTCAAGGAAGTAGCGTAGGCCTTCGTGAGTAAATATTATCTTGTGTCAAAGACCATTCGCCAAAGGAATGAAATACTCACTTTCAAGATGGCGAGTGATGAGACCCTTCCAAAAGCCTGGAGCAAATTCAAACAATTACTCCGCAACTGCCCTCATCATGAAATTCCGGACTTCATGGAGCTTCAAATTTTTTACTCAGGAATCACTCCTGAATTAAGAATGTCCTTGGATGTAGCGGCAGGAAGCTCGCTGATGGGGCGCTGTGCCTCAGAAGCGAGGGCTTTGATTGAGAAAATGGCGGCCAATCAGTCAAGTTGGCCAGAGTCCAACAGGCCTGAGCCATCGAGGGGTCTATACCAGGTTCCTGCTTCCATTTCTCATGATGCAAGGATCGATAGGCTGTCGATCCAAGTCAAGGAGCTGTCTAAGCTCATGAAGCAGGACCTGCGGAATAAAGGAAAACAGGCGCTGCACGAGGCCGCAGAATGTGAGGAAAGAGCTTTTAATGACCAACAAGGTCCGCAGGTTGCTGAGTGCTCAACTGAAGAGGCTCAGAACCCAGCGGAGGTCTTTTATATGGCTGGCAGAAATGCCCCTCAATTCCAGCAGTTCCAAAAGGGCAGGCTCAAGGCCCCGCTGGACCGCGTCCTCACCAACAATTTCAGAGGCCACAACAGTTCGCTGCGCAACAATATCATCAAAGGGGATATTATCCACATCAACAGCAATACTTTCAAGCCCCCCACTTTCCGCAGCAGGCACCTGCATTCGCTCAACCTCCCACAACGGGCCAAGCGCCGCTGAGTCTGAAGGAGCTTTGGAGGAACACAGAGCGAGCGAATCAGGAGTTCCAAAGGAATACTTCTGCCTCGATCAAAATGCTGAATATACAAGTTGGGCAAATAGCTGAAGCTATGAAGCTGAAGCAGAAAGGAACGTTGCCCGGGACAGTCGAGACTGTCCCGAACCAAGCGAAGGCCATCGAAACAAGGGGAGGGAAGCGGACACAATCACCACCGCTGCCAGACAGAGGTATTAATCATCCTCCAAACCCTTTTGTTGCTAACATGCCTGTGCAGGATGAAAATGTACATATTCCAACTGGGGAGGAAGGTCCATCCCAACCTCGAGCGATACCAGCTGCTCGGGTGCCTGAACCGAAGGAAAAGGGTCCCGCTCAGCCTTTGGATCGAGCTCCCTTTCCCACACGACTTGGGAAGAAGGACAACTCCAAGGAATTTGATAAGTTTGTGCACACTTTTCGTAGTCTTCAAATTACTATACCGTTTGCTGATGCTTTGTCACAGATGCCACATTACGCTAAGTTCATCAAAGATATAATCAACTAAAAGCGGGCATTCCCTGACGAAGCGGCAGCGGTGCAACTGGAGAGTGTGTGCAGCGCCGTATTTAAGGAGGACCTCCCAAAGAAACTAAGCGATCCTGGGAGTTTTATTATTATTTGTACTATAGGAAATTTAGAGCCGATTAGGGCATTATATGATCTAGGTGCAAGTATCAATCTTATGCCCTTCTCGTTTTTCTCTAAATTAGGGCTTTATGAATTAGAAGCATGCAGAACTGTAATTCAGCTTGCCGATAAATCAATAAGATTACCTAAAGGAATCATTCGTGATGTACTCGTGCAAGTAAACAAATTTATTTTCCCTGCAGATTTCATTATAATGGAAATGAGCGAGTATCGCGAAATTCCAATAATATTAAGGAGACCTTTCCTTGCCACCGCTCAAGCCACGATCAATGTCGCCGAAGGTGAAATCTCATTGAGCTTCGGTGGAGATAAAGTCACATTTTCAATGAACTCATCATTGCGTCAACCTCAGGAAGAAAATTGTGATTTTGTCAATGAGTTAAATGAAATAATAACTTTTGAGAACCTTTTTACACTTGAAAATCTGGAAGGAATTTCAGATAACTGGTTGCTTGAGCTGGAAGCTGCGGAGGATTCAGCTGGGACGAGCAGTGACACACCAGCGCCAACTGAATCCATTGAACGAGCGAAGAGGGAACCAGCCAGCGACGCCAGCATAAAGAATGAGCTGAAGAAATTACCTAAACACCTCAAATATATATTCCTTGGCCCGGAGGAGAGTTATCCGCTGATAATCTCCGCCTCACTGTTGCCGAACCAAGAGGCTCAGCTCATCTCACTTCTCAAACGAAGAAAAGCGGCGTTTGCATGGAAGATCACAAACATTAAAGGAATCAGCCCAGCGTTGTGCATTCACCATATAAGGTTGGATGCTGATGCTAAGCCATGCAGACAGCCTCAGCGGCGACTAAATGAAAATATGCAAGAGGTAGTCAAGAAGGAGGTCATCAAGCTGTTCGATGCAGGAATCATATACCCTATCAGTGACAGCTAGTGGGTCAGCCCAACCCAGGTGGTTCCCAAGAAAGGAGGCTTTGTCAAGCAGACAAGCGACGACGCGGAGGTCTTCATGACAAGACCTGTCACTGGATGGAGGATTTGCATTGACTACAGACGATTGAATTCGGCCACGAAGAATGATCATTTCCCGCTGCCCTTCCTTTATCAATGCCTTGAGAAACTCGCAGGTCACGAATACTACTGTTTCCTCGATGGCTACTTAGGCTACCATCAAATTCCCATCAAACCGGAGGACTGTGAGAAGACTACATTCACTTGTCCATATGAGACTTTCGCTTATAGAAGGATGCCGTTCGGGCTTTGCAACGCTCCGGCCACCTTCCAGCGATGCATGTACCATATCTTCAGCGATCTCCTGGACTCCTGTATTAAAGTATTCATGGATGACTTCTCGGTATATGGCAAGACATTCTCTAGATGCCTGAAGAATCTGGAAAAAGTACTTCTCCGCTGCATTGAGACTGATCTCGTGTTGAACTGGGAGAAGTGTCATCTCATGGTAAATGAAGGAATTGTCTTAGGCCATAAGATCTCATCTGCCGGTATTGAGGTGGATAGATCGAAAGTTAGTGTGATCGAAAAGATGTCAGCACCCTCGAATGAGAAAGGAGTGCGAAGTTTCCTTGGACACGCGGGGTTCTACCGTCACCTCATCAAGGGCTTCAGTCAAATCACGCAACCACTTACTACACTGTTGTGCAAGGATTTTCAGTTTCACTGGTCAAACGAGTGTGAGGAGGCTTTTCGAGTTCTGAAGGAGAAGTTGACCTCCGCTCCTATTATTTCAGCACCAGTGTGGAGTGAGCCATTCGAGCTGATGACGGATGCAAGCGACTATGCCGTCGGCGCTGTACTAGGACAAATGGTGGAATCTAAATTGAACGTCATTTATTATGCAAGTAAATCACTGGATTCCGCTCAAAAGAATTACACTACAACCGAGAATGAGCTGCTAGCTATCGTTTTGCTTTCGAGAAATTTCGACAATATCTTATCGCGAGCAAGACCATTGTTCACACTGATCATGCAGCTATTAAATATTTGATGGAGAAGAATGAGACAAAGGCCCGCTTGATCAGATGGGTTCTGTTGCTCCAGGAATTTGACATAGAGATCAAGGACAAGAAGGGAAAAGAGAATCATGTGGCAGATCACCTCAGTAGGTTAAGGCAAGAAGATGACATATCTCCAGGAATCAACGAACAATTCCCAGATGAGAAGCTGTTCCTGGTGCAAACGAAGGAGCCATGGTTTGTAGACCTGGCCAATTTCTTAACTACAGGACAGTTTCCAGCGCATACCATACAAAGGGAAAAGAAGAGATTGCTCAGTTTGACAAAGGACTATTTTTGGGATGAACCGTTTTTGTTCAACATCGGCGCAGATGGGATAATCCGTCGCTGTGTAGCGAAATCTGAGATCCCACTAATCTTGAATGAATTTCATGGGTCCCATGTAGGAGGGCATTTCGCTGGTCTGCGCACAACAGCCAAAGTTTTTGTAGTCGGGTTTCTTTTGGCCTACCCTATAGAAAGATGCTAATGCCTTTGCCAAATCTTGCGACAAATGTCAAACATTGGGATCTATCTCGAAGAGAGATGAGATGCCCCAAACTAAAGTCTTGTTTGTGGACATTTTTTATGTATGGGGGATAGATTTTATGGGTCCCTTTCCTCCTTCCGATGGGAAATTATACATACTGGTGGCGGTGGATTACGCGAGTAAGTGGGTTGAAGCGCAAGCGCTCACCACTAATGATGCTCGATCAGTGATCCGTTTCCTAAAATATACTATATTCCCAAGGTTTGGGGTCCCCAGAATGATAATAAGCGATGAAGGCACCCACTTTGTGAATAAGGCGCTGCAATCTTGCCTTCAACAATTTGGTGTCCGCCAGCATTTGACTACCCCCTATCATCCGCAAGCGAGCGGTCAGGTGGAAGTTTCAAATAGAGAAATCAAACACATTCTCCAGACCACAATAAATAAAAGTCGTAAGAATTGGGCAGAGAAATTGGATGATGCGCTGTGGACATACAGAACAGCCTTCAAAACTCCAATTGGAATGTCCCCTTATCAGCTTGTATATGGAAAAGCCTACCACCTACATTTGGAACTCGAGCATCGCGCGTATTGGGCCATCAAGTATCTCAACTTTGATCTTCTCCCAGCACAGGAGAAGCACGCCAAAAGATTTCTCGATCTGACTGAGTTCCGTTATCTTGCATATGAAAGTGCTAAACTCTACAAGGAGAGGATGAAATTCTATCATGACAAGAATTTGAAGAAGAAGGAATTCACTGTTGGATCCAAGGTTCTTCTATACGACACTAGGCTCCACTTATTCCCAGGGAAATTGAAGTCACGATGGACTGGACCATATATCGTCAGGCAAGTGCTGCCAAGTGGAGCCATAAGGATCAATAATCTGGAAACCCCAGGAGAAACAAACTCCTTCTTGGTGAATGGAGCGAGGCTGAAACCGTATATCGAAGGGCCTGTATTGTAGAAGGCCAGTGCAGATATTAATCTGATAGAGGTTCGGAAGCTCGTTCGATGATAGAATTTCGTGAAGAGAATCCAGAAGCCTAATCTTATATCCTCCAATTTTACGGCTTTCTTTTATCGCTTTCCTAGTTAGAATTTATCACTTTCATAGTTAAAATTTACCAGTCTTCTTTATCGCTTTCATTGATAGATTTCATAATTCTTATCGCTTTCATAGTATAGGTTTACAGTCTTGTTATCGCTTTCATTAGAATAGGATTATTGCTTTATAGGAGTAGTCTAATGTTAGCATTTTAACTTCTAACCTAAGCCTGACCCAAGCCATCTATCGCTTCGCTTGTCTCACCCTGATATTCACTGGCGGAGCGGTATCGCTCACCCAGTACCGCTTCCATCACCGCTTGCGTGTCATTCTTAGATGAAAAGAAGTATTGCTTTACTCGCTCACCCGCCCTGAAAACTCTCCCTTATACCTTTATAAGTATAATGGACTAGGCAGCGCTCCGCTTGCCCTCAAGATGAGCACTAGAAAACCCTATAAATACCCCAGTCACCACTTATTTTTCACTTTTGCCCTACAGTACCTTCCTCAAGATGCTTTAGTAGCCGCCACTCTCCAAGCCAAAATTTTTTCAAAATCTCGACATTTCAACCAATAATAGCTTCATCTAAGGTAAGATCTAGGTTAAACTTAGTTCATAAACTCAATTTTACGGTTGATTTTCCCTGATTTAACGTTCAAAAACACAGAATCCCAAATTATTTTCGCGATAACTGCCTGTTCGTCATTTTTGCGAAACTTTTTATATGTTTGATTTATGTGAATCTAGGTCTATTGTCTGTTGGATTTAGATGCAATAACTGCTTTCCTTGCTTCATATGGTTCAATTTTGCAATAATCTATATGTGTTGTTCTTTTATGTGATTTTCTCCCTTTTTCGCAACGTAAAACTCACAGTAGTGTTCTGTTTCGTTGTGAGGGGAAGGAGCTAGGGTTAAAATCACTGAAATTGTTAAAATGATTGCCTGTACATTAATGTTGTTAGCATTTTAAAGCAGTAAGGCAGGATTCATAAAATTCGTTTATTAAACAATAACTCTGGAAAACCTAGGTTCAGGACAGGCTTAACAAAATAGATCCAGTCAAGCGAGAAACGTTGAAGAAGAAGTTCGAGAAGGTTGAAGAGAAAATAGAGAACAGAGTCCAAAGGATCAAATCCACGGACGGACGTCAGGTGGTGATAACAACCTCAGGAACAGAATTCGTAGAGCCAGCGCCACCTGAGGCATATTATAGGAGGAGGAGAGTATTGGAGTTGACAGAGGATTGGGAGAAGCTCAGGCAGCTGAAGTCAATTCCCTTCAGAAAATTCATTCCAGAGTTCCCGGAGGATTACCTCAGATTCGAATACACTGAAGAAACAGAGCAGAGGTATCCGGTGAGCGACTGGTGGTTGGACTACGAGGAACTGAAGGAGTACTAGCTGAAAGAGCTAAGGGACAAACTTGCCTGCCAAGAGGCACCGCTGAGGAGGATGAAGGCATTCAGAGGTGAAACCTCAAAAAAGAATGATGCCGATGCTGCAAAGGATGTGTTGAGGTCCAAACAGTTTGACAAACTCCAATTTTCCAACATTGATGCAACAGCGGCCTATAAGCTGATGAAGGCAATGGGGATCCTCTATGAGAGAGGATTTGACCCCGAGAAGATCACAGGTCCGCTCTTTGACTGGCTGGTGGAGCAAGGCCTGTCTTGGTTGATCAGAAACCCCAGTGTGCCAGTGGATGTATCGCTGATGAGGGAGTTTTATGCTAATCTAAACCAGGCTGAGAGTCTAAAGCATGTCTACATCCGGGGAAGATGGGTATACTGCTCAGCAAGGAAGATCAACCGACTCCTGGGATGGGAACACCACTACCCCATCCAGGAGATGCGAGATAAACTGGAGGAAACGGAGGTCTGCAGCTCACTTGAGTTGCAGACGCTTTACAGGACCTTCGCCACCACCCCTATATACGAAAAGAGGAACTTAAAATTTGGGTCGGTGGATGAAGACAAAAAGGAATGGGTGAAGTGGTCGCTGAGCAGAATAATGATCACAGCACATACCACTAACATCCGTCTTGACTACCTCCTTGCCCTTCGCTCAATTTTGGAGGAGAATGCTGATGTGGATTTGAGCGCGATCATAGGCATAGACATCTGGGATCGAAGAAACGGAGATAGAACATTGGGTCATGGGACCCTGATCACAGAACTATGCCGGTGCGCGGGCATCGATTTTCCCACTCCAGCCCCAGAGCTGCAAATGAAGCTGCTGTTTCCAGCGGCCTTCCACAAAAACTGGCTGGAGTCCAAGGGGTTTACTCTTATCCCCAAGCAGAAAAAGAGGAAAGCGCAAGCGGCAGCGCCCCCTCCACCAAAAAAGAAGATGAAGTTTGTGGGGGGGAAATCATCAGATAGGATGTGACACCTTAGGCCGAGCCTGATTCTGAGAGAACAGTCTCCAATGAAGCCCCCAACGATGAGGAAGAGGAAGCCCTCCGCTTCGCTCGGGAGATAGAGGAGGATCTATTCGGGGATGAAGCGGCCAGGAGTAATAAGGGAGGAAAAGTGCCACGAGCGGCCACTGGCGAGAAGAGGTCAAAGAAGCAAGAAGACCCTGCTCCGCCGCCTGTCAAGAAGCCGAGGGTCAAGGAAGCACTACAAAAAAATCCAACACCCCCTCGGCGAGCGACAAGGCAGGAGAAAGGGAAGGGGAAAGCGGTGGCTGTAGAGTCAAGCAAAGACACGATCCCCCTCTCCAGACTATGAAAGGGGATCATCATCAGAGAACCCACCGCTCAACCGGAGAGACCTTCGCCAGTGAAGCCAACGATGGTAGAGGTGTCACCACTACCGAGTCCACTTGGTGATGAACCTGTTCCCTTCGACCAGCAGGGGGCAGGTGAGCCAACTGCTGCTGGAACAGGCAAGGAAGCCGCACCCGTTAACCAGCCGGGAGTGGTAGAGCCTACTGCTGCTGGAGCAGAGGAGGAGCGTGAGACTGTGCTTACTGAAGAAACCATCGGCAGGATCGATGTCACAGTGGAATCATACAAAGAATATCCCGCCGAGGTCCCGCTGCCACAACCGCTGAAGCTGCCAATGAAGCCGAAGAGGTAGAGGCAGTAATTGCAAACCTTCCTATCCTACAAGTGTCCCCGCGCAGCCCAAAGACACCTACCAGGATGGGGACACCTGCAAAGACTCTAAGTCCTCCCTCAGCCAGATCAGACAAAACACTAATAGAGAAGGAGGAGGAGGAGCAGGATAGGAAGCTGCAGGAAAGAAAGCTCAGCTGCTCGCCGAAGTACAACAGATTCAACAACTGCGACAGCTCGAGCGAGAGAAGAAAAGGAAAATGAAGGTGTTGGCCAAGCTGCTAAAATACTGGAAAGCGCTGACTCAACTCCAGCTACGATTTAGGAGATATATGGAGAGAAAGAAGGCAGAACAGCTGGAGTACGAGGTAGCGAGGCAGCTGGTATTCCTCAGGGATGTCACCCCTGAACCAGCACCTGATTCCCTTCGGGAGGAAGAGACAGTGGAAATCAGTTCGGCTGAGTCCGAGCGACAGTCACCCACAGCGGCGGGTGCTGGACCATCAGCCCCCCGCTCATCTCTGGAAAGTATTGAAAAAAGACTGGAATTCGACTCAGCCATTCTCACCCAATACATGATGACTCGGACAATAATTGACACATACGCTAGGAGTCTGGGTGCTGAACTGACCGTTGGAAAGAAAGCAACTGCCGCACTAGAAGAGCGAGTGGAAGCACTAGAGACTCAAGCTGCAAGCATGGGTACGACGCTGTAGGAGATTATTAAAGCACTCACAGCTCTGACCCAACAAAACGCCATCCTCATGGAACAACAGCATGACACAGCTGGGAGTCTCCATGAATGGAAGACCTAGTGCGGCAGATATCCAGAAACCTTCCTCAAGGGCGAGGACCACCAAGCGAGAAGAGGAGATGAAGAAAGGTCCTCCCCCATTTACACATCTTAAGAATGGCAAGGGCTGTACATATCATTGATCAACGACACAACACTTTTTGGTAACAAGTGACAAATTTTCTTTATTGTATGCCTAACATAACCTGAAGTATGTGTTCTTATGTGAAATACCTGTGATATCCTGCTGAGTTAACTTTGTGATAAATTTTAGAGTAGAGTTAGATAACTTAAGCACATCAGACCAAGTAATTGTCCTTCCAACTTCACAATAACTTGAACATTACCGTTGAACTAAGTAACAGCGAATAAGACTTGTGAAGATTAGTGCCCCCTTCGTTTCAACTTTCCCATACTCAGTAGGGCAAGCGAACCTATGCTTTTCTACTTTGTTCATAAGAAATAACTTGAAAAGTGAAGACCTTAAATATGGTTTAAGATACAATGCAAGCGAAGCAGGGAGGACCTATCATTACAAAGGGACTGACAAAGCCTAGGCGTGCGAGTAACAAATAAGATATTGAGCAGACATAAATTTGTTTGAAACTCTCGATCCAAAAAAAAAAAAAAACTCCGCGCCCTTCGGCTGAAGGTATCCTAAATCAAAAAAACATTCCCTGCTAAGCAAGCAAAGTTGACAATACCTAGATTACTCCAATCTTGTTAAATCAAATGGCAAGCTGAATACTTATGGTTTCTTTGTTTCTATTTTGAGATTCACTTTATTCCCAATCATGGCACTTGTTTGTAACACTTCTTAATTTTAGTGAACAGTATAACCTCTTGATCTCTTAATGCAGTTTGTTCGAGGACGAACAAAGGTTTAGTGTGAGGAGGTTTGATAACTCCAAATAGAAGCATATTCTTAGCTTGACAAAACTGTGTATTACTCGAATTTCTGCATAAAAACCATCACAATGAATCATCAATGGCATACATTATTGATATATATCGCTTGGCATGATCCAAAAGTCGTTGTTGAGATTATTAACGATTTTTGCCTTTTTAAGCGGTAGTCTGGTACCAGAAAAGCTAAGGCAGACGCCACAAGCGACAGCCACCTTCGCTCGCAAGCGCCCATAATACAGCCTGGAAATACTAAGGCATGAGAGGCAAGCGATAGCCTTCACCGCCCGCAAGCGACAGCCTCTCCCGCTTGCAAGCAATAGCGTAGACACCCACCGCTGCAGACTATCACCAGATTCCAGTTAAGTGTTTCAACTGCAGCGGTACAGCCATTCCATTTCCAGCCAGCACAAGCGAGCCTAGCTGCGCTGATGCCCTCTAGCCCTTCGGCAAGCGAGGAAGATCTGCGCCCCTACAGTTCAAGGCAATCAAAGCAAGCGCCCTGGGAGTTATGGCCAACAACTGCCTCAACAGAATAACTACCAACAACCGCCTAACTGCTCAGCGGTTGGAACTGCCCAACAACCGATTGCAACTGTCCCGTTTCACCTGCTATAAATAGGGCCAGATATCTGTATACAAAAAAGGATCGATACTTTGATTTTAAACACTCTTAGCAAGTACTACGCAGCAAGTCGTCTTCCTGTTTCCGAGAGCTCCAACCCTGTAAAGGAGTTCTCCACAGGAATGGCCAAGGGAGTAGGAGTTTTTCTTCTCCCTTGGCCAAGTCTTTACAGCTTTCTTAGAATAGATTACTGCTTTCGTTTACAGCTTTGTAGCATTAGTCTTTTCATGCTTTCGTAGTAGATAATGAAATATCATGCAGTTCTTCATCACAAACTCTTCCACCATTTTTTACACACTTATATAAACTTCGAAATTAAAGAATTCCATTTCACCGGTTTAGAGCTAAAGAAGAATTGATTATTTAAGCCTTGTTATGCGCCAAAAGCGGTCTCAAGGTAGTTCAATGTAGTTAAGTACGCGGGAGCATTGTCGACCTGCTTAACTGTTGTTCTGAATTCAATTTTGATTAAAAAGAGGTAACAAAAGGGTAAAGCCACTAATGAGGCAGATTTCGGGAAAATTAATTGGACATAGGCGGTGATCTATTAGGTCGCAGAGATTCTTAGTGACAGTAGGGTTTCTTTCTTATAATATCTTGAATCTGGGTGTCATTGAAGTCTTGTTGTAAATCCCTTAAGGTCAAAAATTCCAGTCTTATGAATTCCTTATATTCAGTTTATATAATTACACTACTTCCTTCTCACCGCTTCCGTAAATACATATAACTCCGATAACACAATTTCATCGCTCGCTCATTGCCTCCAGGGACATCTATCCATTTAGTAACGCACAGTTCAGACACAACATCTCTCCTTCACTCGGTCGCTCATCTATATATATATACTTATACATATAATGTGCCGCTCGCTCATGTCCCGATCACTCAGTAACCGCCACTCACCCATGTCCCGTTCATCTGGTCCCTGCTTCCGCTCATGTCCCGATCATCTGGTTACCGCTGGCACTTCATCTTTCGCCTTCGCTTTGCTCACCCCTGCTCATCCCATTTTTATCGCTTTCCTTACCGCTTTTTATAGTCTAGTTATCAGATTCGTTGTAAGCGGATCCCTTTTTGCATTCTCATCACTTTTTCAAGATCTTCCCCGTAGAAATTCATGACCTAAAATCCTTGTGTTCGACCTGGAAACTCACCAGTAAAAAGAGTATAAATAATTGTGATGACTACTCAGAGTCTACACCCACAAAAATTGCTATATCTGATCGTTTTCTATAAATTCCCACTCACTGATTTTCGAATATAAATTCCTTGTGAATTGTGTAAAATTAAACACATTTTTAGCATCATCAGTATGCATGTGGGAGACTTCGCGGTTTATGATATTTGATATACGTATTTGATCGCGTTGGTGAATTTATGAAAAAGAGGATAGGTGAGCTATCTCACCAGCCCTTTTCGGTAAATTCACTTATTTGTTATGCTGCACACATATTGCACGGTTTATCGGATATGTTTTATGGATCTATCGTTTAGTCACTGTGTGCGGTAGTGCTTGGCGAGGGCATCATCTGGGGTTAGGATATTCGATCCCGATGTACCGTAACACTTTGGTGATAGTGGACGATAGTAGTTGGACAACTGGGTGACTTAGTCGTACGGTCATTCAGGGATTAGACCCATTGTAGTTGAGACGTATTTGGTCTAATCATTTGTGTTCGGTGTTGTTCCACTCATTGGGCTGGCCACTGGTGAGGTCTACCGGTAGTTTAGGATCATATGTCAAACTCCAAACGTGATCCCGTTAGGGTGTGCGAGGAGGAGTAGAGTTTCCGGGTTTCCCTTGGGTGATTCTAGGTTGCATGGATTCTACTACATTATACGGGATAGGGCTAGTCAGTGGGAGTCCTATCATCGCTATCACAGACTATGGGGCATCTTGTGGTTAATGGCGATAACGTTCGGCTATCCATGTATTGATTGTGGGAGTTGTATGGTGGGTGTATGGAAGTGACCGGATGGCCGTTATATTATTATGGGTTTATCAGGTCCTTCCTTGAGCCGAGGATTTTTCAGTTATTTATTGATGCTGGTCTAGTGAGCTTGTTATTACGGGACCGAGGTTATTCCGGCTGCTCACTTAGACAGATGTAGTGAGCCTATTATTATGGAGCCGAGGTTATTACGGTTGCTCACTTCGGTGGATGTATATATATATATATGTGGATGTGCATTGTTGTCGAGTTTGATATCTTTGTTGCATTATTTCATTATTGGCATGACATGACACGTATTTTATGATTGACGGGAATTAGATTTTATTTTAAATAGGTATGAAATGACATATTTCATGTTATTTCTTAAAATAGATTTAATTCTAGACTGCTTTTAAGAATAATATTTGTTTCATGTATGCATGGCACCTCCGGGACGGGGATGTCTCGGGATATAGAAAGACGGGCTGAGTGAGTGAACTTACATCTATTGTATTATATGTAAATTTTTAACCGGAAAAACCTCTTGTTTGGGAGTGTGTTTTGTAAATATTCATAAATCATATTTTGTTATATAATAATGCACTTTTATAGTTAATTTTAGCCTTAACACTGTAATGTGGGGCCCGAAGTAGGAGATGACGACCTCATGATGCAGTGTGGCGGTAGCATTTCCTAAATGTTTTAAAAATAATAATGATATTAAATTGGTTTGGCGAGGTTTGGGTTTTGTAGGTGTATTCATGTTAATGTGATTTTTATGCTTTAATGTTATACCTGATTTAGTTGTGTTGCTGAGTTGATATTGAATTAGGGAATTCGGGGGCAGTATGTTGAATTCTCGAGGTGATGGTTTACGTAGGGCTATTCGAGGCCCAGAGTTAGAGATCATTTTTCTAATGAGTCACAATATTTTGTGTTAGAGTATGTACTAATAGAGACACCTAGTCAAGATTTCTTTCGGCAGCCATAAACTGCGATGATGTCTCAACAGATGAGTTCTATTGATGTTGTGATGCGGCATAACCCGCCAACATATTCTGGTTCCGTAGAGCCTGGAGTTCTTGAGTTCTGGGTTGAGAAGATGGAAAAGATATTTCGTGTTGTTCAGGTTCCACCAGATCAACGAACCAATATTGGGGCTTATTTCTTGAAAGGTCTAGCAAATTGGTGGTGGTTAGGTAAGGAAGCTGCGGAAGTGGATCAAGTGGATATGACTTGGGATGAGTTCAAAGAAAAATTAAAAGCTAGGTTTATACCGTCACATGTTCGAAAAGAAAAGAAGCAAGAGCTGCTGGACTTGAAACAGGGTTCGATGTCAGTCGAGGACTATTTTGTAAAGTTCAATGAGCTGGAGATGTATGTTCCTGACTACTTTTCCTGTGAGCAAGATAGAGTTGATCATTTTGTAGATGGGTTGCAGCAGAGGATTCAAGAAGTTTTAGCTGTGTTGGATATTAGTTCGTTGTATGAGGCTTACGAGCGTGCTGTTCGATTTTATCAAAAGCAGGAAGTCAGGTAGAAGAACAGTGAGAAGGAAATGGGGAATCAACATCAGTTTCGAGATAAAGGAAAAGCTAAGGTGGATGATGAACCAAAGGGTAAAAATAAATGGTGGCAAATATTTAGGTTTGGGCCATCGCATAAAGGGATTTCAATTAAAGAACCGAGTCAAGAGAGGTTTCAACAATCGGGGGTTGTTTGTCGATGTTGTGAAACAAGTAAGTCAGGTACCCATTGTGATAAAGTTCCATTAACATGTTTTAAGTGTGGTGGTAGTGGTCATATTACCAGGTTATGGCCAAGTGTGGTAACTGCAAGGGAGTTTCCAGAACCGAGATTTAGGCCATGGCAGCATCCGTCTTCGCAGTCACAGGGGAGAGGATTAGGACCATCATGGCGAGGTGGTCGAAGTCAGTCACGTTCATCATCTAGGCAGCCAGGCAGAGGACCTGACCAGCATGGCTGAATAAATATTGTTACCCAAATAGAGGCTGATCATCACCTAGGTGAGGTTCTAACGGGTAGATTTCTTGTTTGCGATTTGTCAGCTCTTGTGTTATTTGAGTCGGGTGCAACGTTCTCATTCATATCTAAACATTTGGTTAAAAGATTGGGTCTTAATTCATCGGTAGAAGTGGTAGTAGAAGTTTTACTTCCATCAGGAGAAGTACTGAAGTGCCGAGAACTTTATATGCAAATTCCGGTTAGTATTGGGGGAGTTGATTTTGCTACTAGTTTGTTGAGTATGAAGTTATCCAAGTTCGATGTGGTTGGGGGGATGGATTGGTTAATGGCATATCAAGCTCAATTTGATTGTCGAAAAAGATCAATTTCGTTGGTTGGAGCGATGGGTGAACAAATGAACTATGCAGGATCTGCAAGACAACCTTCTATGAAGGTAATTTCATCCCCGTCATGTCATTCATTTATTCGTAAGGAGTATCCAGTGTATCTGTGTGAAGTAAGAGATTTTAAGAAAGGGGAGCGGCGATTGCAAAATATTCCTGTGGTTCGAGATTTTTCTGATGTATTTCCTGATGATATTCCTGGTATGCCACCAGCTCGTGAGGTGGATTTTACTATTGATATTGTGTCAGGCGCCGAGCCAGTATCGAGAGCTCCGTATCGCATGGCACCGTTAGAACTCGCTGAACTTAAATTTTAACTACAGGAATTACTGGATAAAGGTTACATTCGTCCTAGTACATCGCCTTGGGGAGCTCAAGTATTATTTGTGAAAAAAGAAAGATGGAAGCTTGAGTTTGTGTATTGACTACCGTGGGCTGAATAAAATAACGATAAAGAACAAATATCCTCTTCCGAGGATTGATGATCTATATGATCAACTGAGAGGTGCAAGTATATTCTCCAAGATTGACTTGAGGTCTGGATATTATCAACTAAGGATTGCAGAGCATGATATTCCTAAGATAGCTTTTCGTACTACATACGGTCATTATGAATTTACGGTTATGTCATTTGGGTTGACCAACGCCCCGGCTGCGTTTATGGAATTGATGAATCAAATTTTTCAACCATACCTCGATCAATTTGTGGTGATATTTATCGATGATATCTTGGTATATTCTTCAGATAAAAAGAAACATGCAAAACATTTGCGTGTGACACTAAATACACTGTGTGCGAGGAAGTTATATGCCAAGTTATCCAAATGTGAGTTTTGGTTGAAAAATGTTGCTTTCTTGGGGCATGTAGTTTCTAGTAAGGGTATCTCAGTAGATCCTTATAAAATTGCGGCAATCTCGGATTGGACAAGACTTACCAATCAATCAGAAGTAAGAAGCTTTTTGGGTTTGGCAGGGTATTACCGAAAATTCGTTCTTGATTTTTCAAAGATTGCGAAACCATTAACTAATTTGTTGAAGGACACAATGATTAATTGGGATCGTGAGTGTGAGTCCTCTTTCGTAGAATTGAAACATCGATTAACTTCAGCCCCAATCTTGGCTTTACCAGTAGAGGGTGAGGATTTTGAAGTTTATAGTGATGCTTTGAAAAAGGGATTGGGATGCGTCTTAATGCAGAGTCAAAGAGTTATTGCTTATGCGTCACGACAACTAAAACCTCATGAAGAGAATTATCCTACACATGACTTGGAGATGGCAACAGTTGTGTTTTCTTTGACATATTTCACATTAGTTTTAAAAGTGGATTTAATACTAGATTGCTTTTAAGAAAAATATTTGTTTCAGGTATGCATGGCATCTCCAGGACAGGGGATGTCTCGGGATATAGAAAGACGGGCTGAGTGAGTGAACTTACATTTATTGTATTATATGTAAATTTTTTTTTAACCGGAAAAACCTCTTTTTTAGGAGTGTATTTTGTAAATATTCATAAATCAGATTTTGTTATATAATAATGCATTTTATGGTTAATTTTAGCCTTAACACTGTATTGTGGGGCCCAAAGTAGGAGATGGCGACCTCATGATGCAATGCGGCGGTAACATTTCCAGTATGAGCCAACTGGGGGTGTTACAGCACATATGAAGGAAAAAGAAACAATGCTAGATTTTCTCACTAGAGTCTCTAGAATCATAAGTCAAATGAACTCCAATGGTGAAAAGGTTAATGATAAAATTGTGGTTGCAAAAATTCTTAGGAGTTTAACTCCCAAGTTTGATCATGCGGTTGCCGCTATGAAGAGTCAAAGGATTTAGACACATATTCCTTTGATGAATTGAAGGGTTCACTGCAATCCTATGAAGCAAGGTTGAGCATATCGGAAGAAAAACATGAAGAGAAAGCTTTTCAAGTTAAAGGTGATTCATCACAGCAAAAAAATAAATCGAAAAATGCAAGAATTACAGGACGTGGAAGAGGTCGATACCAAGAGAGTAATGGTCATGGCAGAGGACGAGAAGATGCACACTTCAATGATAGGAGCAATAATCAGCGTAGTAATAATTCATAAGGCAATAAAAGTCATGTGCAATGCTATTATTGCAAAAGGTTTGGACATGTACAAGCTGATTGTTGGAAGTGAGAAAAACAGACTTGTTATGCAGAACAACGAGATGATGAACTCAAGTTGTTTATGACCAGCTGAGGTGATACAACCACTTCTAATAATATATGGTATTTGCATAGTGGTTGTTCTAATCACATGACAAGAATAAAGTTGTTGTTTAAAGAGATTGACGAAACTTACATATTACAAGTAAGGCTCGGAGATGATAAACAAATGCAAGTTGAGTGCAGAGGCATCGTTGAATTCGTGAATGATCGGGGTAATTTAAAGCTCATTTATGATGTTTATTTAATTCGTACATTGACTCAAAATTTATTGAGTGTTGGGAAACTCATTGATAGTGGATATGCCATTTTATTTGACAATTCTTCATGTGTGATTAGACATAAAAAAATCTGGTCAAGTGATTGTCAATATTCAGATAACGCCGAACAAATTATTTCCACTTGAGGTGTCGAAGTTGATGAACGTGTACTTGGTGTCAAACCAACCTGTGAGTCTAAATTATGGCATTTAAGGTATGGGGTTATAAATGTGAATGGTTTGAAATTGTTGAGTCAAAAGGATATGGTTTATGGCTTGCCTAAAATTGAATCCTTGGAGTTATGTGAGGGCTGTGTTCTTGGCAAACAAACAAAGAGATCTTTTCCGGTATGAGTCTCTAGACGTGCATCTACTTGCCTTGAGCTTATACATGCAGATTTGGTAGGTCCGATGAAAACAGAATCTCTTGGTGGGAGCAGACTTTTTTTGTTGCTAACAAATTATTACATTTGGATGAGTTGGGTTTATTTTTTACAAGCCAAGTCAGAAACATTCGATATGTTTAAAAAGTAAGGCTCTTGTGGAAAATCAATCTGGTGTGAAATTTTATGTACATTCGATATGTACAAACAAAGGTGGTGAGTTTGTATCTTAAAAATTTAATCAAGTTTGTGATGAGCATGGAATATGAAGACCATTAACATCCCCATACACTCCAGTGCAAAATGGTGTCGCCGAGCGCAAAAATAGAACAGTTGTGGAGATGGAAAGAAGGTTGCTAAAATCCAAAAGACTTCCAGTTATTTTTTAGGCTGAGGTAGTAGCAACATCAGTGTATTTGCTTAATTTGTCTCTTACAAAGGGTGTTTTGAACAACACACCATATGAGGCTTAGAATCGAAAGAAACCGGGAGTAAGCCATTTGAAGGTATTTGGTTGTGTTGCCTATGCTTTAGTTGATGCATCTTATCGTAGAAAAATTAATGAAAAATCAACAAAATGCATTTTTCTTGGCTATTGTTCACAATCCAAAGCCTATAGATTGTACAATCCTGTTATGGGCAAAGTTATAAAAAATAGAAATGTAGTTTTCGATGAAGAAGCAAGTTGGAAGTGGGATAAAAACTCAAGGAACATTGTTGTTGGAGTTATTGGTGAAATGAGACCATTGGAAGGGACATACAACAACCGACTTCACCACATTCTTCAGGCTCGTCATCACCATCTTTACTTAAAAACTCATACCTGAAGGATCAAGAAGCAATTTCGATGATGAAACTCCTCCACTAAGATTTCAATCATTGGATGATATATATGCAGATTCTTATGCTATGTTTGTAGGTGATCCTATAACCTTTCAAGAGTCAGTGAAGGGAGAAGAATGGCGTGCAACAATGAAGGATGAAATCACTTCAGTTCAAAAAAATAAGACTTGGGAATTGGTGGATCTTCCAGAAGGAAAAAATCAATTGCAGTTAAATGGATTTTCCGAACAAAGTATGGAGCTGATGACGCTTTTCAAAAACATAGGGCGTGACTTGTGGCCAAGGTGTATGCAAAACAACAAGGAGTTGATTATGTCGACATTTTCTCTCTGGTTGCATGATTTGAGACAGTGAGAATCCTTCATGTAGTGGCTACAAAATTAAATTGACCGATATATCAATTTAATGTGAAATCAGGTTTTCTAAATGGCGATTCAAATGATGAGGTTTATGTTACTCAGTCTGAAGGATTCATAATTGAATGTAATGAGAAGAAGGTGTACAGGCTGCACAAAGCCTTGTACGGGTTAAAACAAGCTCTGTGTGCATGGTATGGAAAGATATATTCCTAACTTTGTGAAAATGGATTTGAGCAAAGAAAAAATGAAGCTACATTATACATGAATAAGAAAGGTAAAAATGATTTTCTCATTCTTTGCCTTTATGTTGATGATATGATTTATATAGGTTCATCTCCTTTTCTCATTGACGATTTTAAAGCCTGCATAAAGATAGTTTGAAATGATAGATTTAGGCAAGTTGCAATATTTTTTGGGTTGGAAGTGAAGTAAGGTGATGATGGAATTTTTGTGTCTTAACAAAATATGCTTTCGATTTTTTGAAAAAGTTTAATAGATTGAATTGTAACGCTGCAACAACGCCTATGAACTTGAATGAGAAGTTACAGGTTGATTATGGTTCTAGACAAGCAAACGAGAAATAATTCAAAAGCTTGATTGGAGGTTTGATTTATTTGGAGCATAAACGTCCAGACATTGTTTTCTCAGTGGAAGTACTTTCCAGCTTTATGCATTGTCCTTCACAACATCACTTTGGTGCTGCAAAAAGAATGTTACACTATGTTGTTGGAACAATCCAATTTGGATTATAGTATAGGCATGCATCCGATTTTAAGTTGATAAGTAATATGGACAACGACTGGGCAGGTTATTTGGAGGACAGAAGAAGCACCTCGAGTTACGTGTTCAGTCTTGGATCTGGTTCAATATGTTGGAGTTCAAAGAAGCATGAATTCACAACACTTTCAACGTCTGAAGCTGAATACGTAGCAGCGACAACGTCAGCTTGTCAAACAGTTTGGCTATGTCGTATTCTTGCAGATTTTGCTCAAGTCTAATCTGAACCAACTGACATCCTTTATGACAATAATGCAGCAATATCCATGTCGAAGAATCCAACATACCATGGAAGGACAAAATACATTGATGTTCAAGTACATTTTATTCGAGATCTTGTGTCAATGAATTTAATAACTTTAAAGTATTGTAGTACTCATGAGCAGGTGGCTGACATCATGACCAAGTCACTTCTTTGAGATAAGCATGTTCACTTCTAGTCGAAGCTTGGTGTTTGCACTTTTGAATCAAGGGGTAATATTAATGATTTGATTCAAAATTAATTAGGATATATTTTATTTACTATATTCAATTTTAGAAGGTGGATTTTATTAATAATTATTCTATGTTAATCGTGGAGTGTAATCTCAATATATTAGTATGTTTGTCATTGAATAAAATAAGGTTTTTTGAAGTTTATCCAAAAAAATAGCCCTGCACGTCCTCTTTGCTCTGTTCTTCTCCATCGTCTACAACTTGGTTTGGTGGCAATATCTCTCCTGATTTGCAACACAAATATTGTGTTATATAATAGCATTGATTTTATTTCCTTACTATTATTTTTATTCGATGAACTAGCCTACTAAGTTTCTTTGTGAGAATTTTAGCGTTTGGTTGTAGGAATTAACTCGAGACATCGATCCTAGGGAAACAAATTCCTAACAGTGGTATCAGAGCCAGGTTGGAATCGGACACGGGTTTGACGTTTTGTTTGAAAAATCATAATATTACTTTGCCTTTGATTTGGTAACAGAAAGCTAACCCTTACTTTTATTTGTTAATTAGTAATAGGGTAAGCTGTGGTAAAATTCTTTGTGGGTAATCTTGGTGATTATAGTTCTTGTGATTGTATTGATACTACTATCACATAACTAGCTATTCCAAGACCAAGTTAGAAGCTGACCACTGATAGTTAGTGAATTGTGCAACATTCTTGTATGGAAAATTGTGCAAACTTTGTGTTGATACTTGGGCATTATGACAACTGTATTTATTACAAATTTTGACGGAAAAATTGATTTTTCAATTTGGCAACAAAAGATGAAAAGTGTCTTAGTAACACAAAAGGTTTCAAAAGCCATTGATGGTGATTTTAATCGTTTGTTGACTGAAGATAGAAAAGTTGAGTTAGATGTACATGCATATTCATTTATAATATTGAATTTATCTAACTCTGTAATTCAAAAAGTAGGAAAACCTAATTATGTGAAAGAAATTTGGAAAGAATTAGAAAAAATCTATATGGAAAGGCCTTTGCCAAATAAATTATTTCTACTTGAAAAGATCTACATATTTAAACTTGAATTAACAAAATAA